AAAAGTTCAAATGAGCTGAAGTTTTTACACAAGAAAGCTGAGACAACTGCCTACAACTTTTATATTTTCGACTAGCTCCAATTTTGATGTTAGATTATTAATCTCGACTTTACAATAAAAATCATCAGACGACAGAAACAATTACTTAGATGAAAAAAATGAAAGATATTTTCCGGGTTCCCACCCATAAATTACAAGTTTTAAATGATACATAATAGATGAATGCTGGCTGGGTGGAGAAAAGTCAAGGCTATACAAGCATTTTTAGAGAAGAAGTAAAAATCCGACTCCTGTATTTGACATGACCGAAGCCGATGAATCTACATAATTTTAATAATATAAATAAAAAATAAATGAACTAATATATATATATATATATATATATATATATATTTGAAGGGTGTGTTTTTATATCAAATTATTAAATCATAAAATAATATACACACACGCTTTATGTTAATATCAACATATGTGTATATATTAAAAAAATATTAATTATAATAAATCTCTTAATCTCGACTTTATAATAAAAATCATTTGACGATAGAAACAAAGGGGGCTGTGAGCTCCTCGATGCTTGCTTGCTTCTCTGTCAGTGACGTGGCTCATTTCTTTCCCTTAATTTTTCCCTTCGCTTTTCTAGAAGGGTAAAAAATGGGAGGCGGGTAAAGAGTTGAACTCGGACAGGAAGGGCATTAATTTGAGTTGAACTAACACATTAAAGAATTACACCGCCGCAATACACAGTAGAACCAAACACGGAGGAGAATAAAAATATCCAAGTAAGGTCCCAACAACCAAAATTGGCTAGTCGCCAGCTTTAATTGAGCAGAAAAGGCCCACCCCACCAGCACCAGCAGCTCTGGACTGGACTACGAGCATGTTTACCACTGCCTTTGTGCTATTGTTCGTTATTTTTTAATTTAATTTAATTTTAAATTAGTTTTATACAAAAAAATATTTTAAAACACGAGTTGAATAGGAAAAAACAAAACCTTCTGATTTACTTTGAAATCAAATCATGTATTTAGATACGGGTCAAATCAACCTTCCCACTTTAATTACGTCATAATAACATACGGTGGATATTTGGTTAGAAATTAGAAATAGAAGAGATGAGTGAAATAAATGGAAATACCATTTTACCCCTGAAACTCAATGCTTCCCTTGCAACTGTAGGCGACAAGATCATCGATGCACAGTAGTAATCCTCAGTGTAGAATTAGTTTTTTTTTTTTACTTTTATTTTCATTTTAATATGTTCTAAAAAAAATCGTTGAGAACCGAATTAGACCCACTATTTGATTTGAATCAGTACGTATCAAATGGAGCAATCTATTTAATCAAACAGCAGCATAATTAGACCCAGCAGTCAATTCTAAGAAAACTGCTAGATTATGAACTTGGAATCCTGCATGGTGGTCCGCTTGTTGCCCTATTCTAAACTTGCTCCGAGCAATATCAGACCTCAACAAGTAAAAGGCCTTCAGCACATTGAACGAAAATTAGGCCTAGCTTTCATCCTTTTCTTGCTAATAACTAAGAGCGTTTATCTTACCTCTGGATTTGCATTTTGATAAAAAAAGAAGAAGATATAACTATGCTTGATAGACATTGTGTGGCGTATAACGCCACTGAGAGGCACAAATCAAGTTAATTCAGAGTTATTTCTTCCTAATAATACAAGGACACAAGTACAAGCTCCTAATTGATCCAGAGAAAGACAAATGCTTGATAGACATAAGCAATTTGAAGGCTGATGCATCTTTCGGTAAGAAACCTGATGCTCTCAAGGTTCCTCTTCATCTGGTGAAACAGGGAATTCTCTGTCCTCGGTGACCTTGTTTCCCTGCATAGCTGCAAATACACCACTTGCTAGAGATATAACTATGCTGAAAAACTTGTGGTTGCCATACAGAACCATCTGTTAACAGAGGCAATAGTACCCAGAGAAAACGAAGCATCTGATTTCGAGAACAAATTTAAAGCCAGTTAAATGTGTCATCTAGGGGTTCTGAACAGTGGATCTTAGGGAGATGACTAATGTAATCATGATAACAATATATAATCTGTTGGAACCTTCTTTGTGTGTGGTTTCCATTTGAATAATAAGAGTTTATACTATACTTGTTTGATATACCATTAGTGGAACCTCTAACCTTGACATTTGTTATTATCATTGTTTAATCCTTACATTAATATTTCATCTCAAAGTTCATCATTATCTTCTTCCTTTTCTTTTTCTTTTTATTTATTTATTACTACTACTATTACTACTACTATTATTATTAGGACTACTAGTACTATTACTAGTAGTAGTAGTAGTAGTATTATTAGTATTATTATTGCTACTATTTTATTATTGTTGTGTTTATAATTTGTACAATTAACCTCCCTGTGGTTCGACCCCGGTCTTGTCGGGTTATTTATTACTTCGACACTCCTACACTTGGGAGAAGACATCAATCTTTTGGTCGTGTCATAAGACTTGTCAGAAAATTAAAATGCAATGAGCATGAGGCTCCGTATTGTGGGATGATTAGTCCACATAGGTTGGTGACTTTCCTGACCAACTAGGGTTTAGATACGATGTGCACAAAGACTAACACTACCCTATTAGCATGAGTATTCTGACTGACATATCATAGGTTCATAATCATAATCAAATAGACATATTCATATCTCAAGGCTCAATTCATGACATCAATCAAATGAGGAGCTATCAATTCAAAATTCAATTCAAAGTATCTACTGATTTATATTAAAAATTCAGATTCAACAAATGATCATGCTTATCATAACAAGGATAATAGTCA